GAAATATTCATATTTATTATTGAATTTTTTTTATGTCGTCTATTTATAGTCTATTGCATTCCAATCTTTAATCTGATGCATTCCACTATTTATTGTTTTATATTTCCAATGCATTGAAAATTTACATTCATCTGATGATTTTAATTTTAATTTTTAATTCTGGGGATTTTATTTTTTCAATTTTTTTTATAATCTGTCCAATAAATATTAGTCATTTGAAGGGTTTATTAACCATTAAGTGATGGGTTTTTTTGTTCTTTATTTATTAAATGCGAAATTCAAAATATTCATATTTATTATTGAATTTTTTTATGTAGTCTATTTATAGTCTATTGCATTTTAATTTTTAATCTGATACTTCACTATTTATTATTTTATATTTCCAATGCATTGAAACTTACATTCATCTGCTAATTTTAAGTTCTATTTCTAATTTCGTGGACTTTATTTTTTCAATTTTTTTTTATAATCTATCTAATAAATATTAATCATTTGAATGGTCTATTGACCATTAGGTGATGAGTTTTTTTGTTATTTATTTACTAAATTCGAAATTCGAAATATTCATATTTATTATTGAATTTTTTTATGTAGTCTATTTATAGTCTATTGCATTCCAATCTTTAATCTGATATATTTCACTATTTATTGTTTTATATTTTCAATGCATTGAAAATTTACATTCATTTGTTGATTTTAATTTCTATTTTTAATTCTGTGGACTTTATTTTTTAAATTTTTTTTATAATCTGTTCAATAAATATTAGTCATTTGAAAGGTCTATTCTCCATGCATATATAATGTTATACCAGTCTTTTGTTTTTTTTTAAAGTATCAGAGAGAGAACATATAGATTCTGATGGCTAATATGTTTGATTTTATTAAGGATTTTAATCCTTCTAAAGAGCAATGGAGGATAAAGGTTAGAGTAATTCGACTTTGGAAGCAAAAAAATTTTCGACAGTCAAAACTGGGTGATAATATTGAAATGCTCCTTTTGGATGAACAGGTCAGAATTTTGTGTTCTTGAATTTGGTTTTCAATAAGTATTCTAAAGTTTGCTTTTCACATCTCTTACGTCTAACATTTTTTTATGTTTTGTTTAGGGGGGAGGATTCAAGCAACTCTTAGGGCTTCTTTGCGTTTTAAGGATGCTTTTACTGAAGGAGGAGTTTATACAATTTCGAATTTTGGTGTTTCTTTGAATGAAGATCCTTATAAGCCAACGACACATAAATACAAGATTGTTTTTAATCCTAGAACTGCTCACAGTCTGCTTAATGATTCCAGCATCCCTAATTATGCATTTTCTTTCGTTGAGTTTGATAAGATTTTAAACCAAACTCAAGAAAATGCTTTTTTAGTTGGTATATTTATTATATAATAATTTCATTATATTTGTCTTAATTTATTCAATTAAATTGCAAGTTTACTTTGGATTCTACATTAAATGGTTTGCTTTTTTTCAAATGTTATTGGGTTGTTGTCAGTGGTAATTGAGCGGAAAGAAGTGACAAAAAATGGTTCTCCATTGAATATGATTTCATTTGAACTTGATGATTTAAGGTATTTTTCATTTGAATATTTCTGTTTTTTTATTAATTTCTCATTATATTTTTTTCAATTTATTTATTCTTCTTCTTTGTTTCAAACAGTGGTAATAAGCTTCGTTGCACTCTTTGGGAAAATTTTGCTGTTGAGATGTGTTCAGTTATTGATAAAAGCTGCAATGAAGCTGTTATTTTCGTCATTCAATTTGCAAAGATGAAATCATGGAGAGGTTTTATTCTACATTTTTTATTATTAATTTTAGTATTTTTTTAGATTTTATTTTGGAAGTTTTATAAAATTTTTTTGGTGGTTTATTTAGGTGTGATGGGGATTTCCAACACCATGTTCAATACTAAGATCTTTATAAATAACTATGATATTCCTGAAGTTTTGGCATTTAAGGAAAGGTAATGTTACTGTTTTTATATTTTTTTTTAAATTTTTTGTTATG